ATAAGGTTTTCCAAATATTTCTATTAATTACACATAGCAGAAAAATTAACTAATTTCTTACAATAATTAATTTAACTAATTTTTTTAATATCTATAATTTAGTTATCTAGCTTTTATATTAAAAACTAAAGTAAAATCTGAGATCAATTATTAAAAGCAAGCAACTAATCATTGAATTAGAGTATTTGTTGAAGATTATTTTATTGGGAAAATGACACTAAAATACCACTTGAATTCCAAAAAGACAAATAAGGCACCTGAATAAGCAAAATGACAAAGAAGGCATCAGGTACCAATCTGGAATTTTGATTTTTAGCCTAAAGACTGAATTGCCTTTATTGTGTTTGAAAACTGAGGAGATAGAGAAAAGTAGAAATCGCCTCCTCCCAGCGAAAGCAATTCCCCCCACTCGGCAAAAGAGAAACTGCCCCCACTTGGTGAAACCAATCCATCTACTCGGTGAAACTAATCCCTCCCCTCAGTGAAACCGAATCCCTCTACTCGATGAAACCAATCCCTCCACTCCACGAAACCGAACCCCCTCCGGTTGACGAAACTAAATCCTTCGCATCACCATTCTGTAGAGATTATTGATTTGGTGGGTTTTGGTTTTGGGAAAGAGGATTTGTAGTGAGAGAGGGAGTGAACTGAAGTGGAAATCAGAAAACAATGGCAAGCAATTACGTAACGTAACTATTGTCATATGCTTGCTGGTTTTTGGTAAATCCTATTACGTGAATGGTAAATTTCACTATACATGTAGTTAATTATGAATTTTACAAAATACATATTGTGATTTACAACTTTTGTAGTGAAAGTGACTACTTTGTTAATGGGTTTTGCAACCTGTTTTCAGGAGATAAACAACTTGTTTGTAAAAACTAATAAAATTTCACATTAAATTTGACAAAACGTATAGTGGGATTTACAACTTCCGTAGTAAAAATGACCACTTATTGAATGGGTTTTGTAACTTGTTTTCAAGGGATGGGCAGTATTTCTAAAAACTAATAAAATTTCTTGCTAAATTTGACAAAATACATAGTGAGATTTACAACTTTCGTAGTGAAAATGATCACTTCTTCAATGGGTTTTGTAACATGTTTTCAAGGGATTGGCAACTTGTTTCTAAAAACTAATAAAATTTCATGCTGAATTTTACAAAACATAGAATGATATTTACAACTTTTATAGTGAAAATTACCACTTCTTAAATGAGTTTTGCAACCTCTTTTCAAGGGATTGGCAATTTGTTTCTAAAAACTAATAAAATTTCATGCTGAATTTTACAAAACATAGAGTGATATTTACAACTTTTATAGTGAAAATTACCACTTCTTAAATGAGTTTTGCAACTTCTTTTCAAGGGATTGGCAACTTGTTTCTAAAGACCAATAAAATTCCATGCTGAATTTTACAAAACATAGAGTGATATTTACAACTTTTGTAGTGAAAATTACCACTTCTTAAATGAGTTTTGCAATCTCTTTTCAGGGGATGAGCAACTTGTTTCTAAAAATCAACAAAATTTGACGCTGAATTATATAAAACACACAGTGATATTTACAACTTTTATAGTGAAAATGACCACTTCTTAAATGGCTTTTGCAACCAGTTAATTCAACGTGACTACAAAAGTTGTCACTTTTATTAGTTTTTACAAACAAGTTGTTTATCTCCTGAAAACAGGTTGCAAAACCCATTAACAAAGTAGTCACTTTCACTACAAAAGTTGTAAATCACAATATGTATTTTGTAAAATTCATAATTAACTACATGTATAGTGAAATTTACCATTCACGTAATGGAATTTACCAAAAACCAGCAGACATATGACAGCAGTTACGTTACGTAATTGCTTGCCATTGTTTTCTGATTTCCGCTTCGGTTCACTCCCTCTCTCACTACAAATCCTCTTTCCTACAACCAAAACCCACCAAATCAACAATCTCTACAGAATGGTGATGCGAAGGAGCAAGATAATAGCATTTTCAACATTATTCTTTCCTTCTTCCCGTATTTCATCAGCGTCGGTCTTCCTCTCTCCTTTCTCTCACCGTGTCGGTCTTCCTCTCACTTTCAGCGTCGGTCTTCCAGCATTTCATCAGGGCATTTTGGTCTTTTGGCCGAAAATATGAATTCCAGATTGGTACCCAGTGTCCTATTTGTCATTTTGCTTATTCAGGTGCCTTATTTGTCTTTTTTGGAATTCAAGTAGTATTTTATTGTCATTTTCCCTATTTTATTTTTAACATATTTATTGATCCAATTAACTTTAACGGTATTTTTTAATAAAAAAAAGTGAAGGATTATCTATTTAGAATTTTCAAATACTGAGAGCACTCAATAATGCACTAAATTATCTCAAGGCTTCGTTTGGTTTCGCTGATGCTTAGCCTGCGAAAGAGCGGAAAAAAGACTGTTTCCTCCGTTGAATCCGTCTGATTGGCTGAGCCGAGGACAGCAATTTTCGATGCCCAAAATACCCTTTTGGAGAGGAAAAAGATGAGAAAGAAGAACTGAAATGTTTTTTGTTTCTCTCTCTAATTTGTTTCATACAATTGAGTATCATAAATTCAATTTAGTCAAAATGCTCTCTTTCTTTGTAAACAAGATGCTTTTTTACCCCACTCTTTATGCTATACAAGATAAAAGTGTAAAAAGACTTTTGCTGATTCACTCACCACGCCTCACTTGTACTGGATTCACTTTCTTGATATCCATGCTTGAGACTTCAGAGACCCAATAATCCATATGAATTATGAGACTACTTGGGCTACATCTGAAGATTGGGTCCAATAATTTGTCGGCGGCCATCTGCCACTGCACACCCATATTGATCACCGATCAAACTAGCTTGGCAATTGAAGAACGAAAGCAACAAGCTCTGGGTGGATGTTCTCAAGCAGAAGTATGTTCAGCCTAGAAAGGATGGAAAATGGGCATCCAGAGCTGGAGATTCAACACTATAGCATTTTATTTGTCAACCGCATGAAACTCTTGAAAAAGGCACCTGCTGGCAGTTGCGTGATGGGCTAACCGTTAATTACATTTTTCAATGCTGATGGAGCTGTTCATTTGTCCTCCAATAAAGCTGCTTGCAGAGGGGTCATGAGAAATAGCAATGGCCAATGGACTGCGGGCTTCTCAAAATTTTTGGCAATATGTACTGCTATAGAAGCTGAGGAATGGGCGATTTTGATGGAAATGAGGACAGCTTGGGACCTCGGCTTCCGCAACATTATTATAGAGTCTGATTCAAAGGAGTTGATTGATAGATTTAACCATCCTCATCCAGATCTGACATGTGTATCTTCAGTTTGGAAATTGATAAGCGATGTGAGAAGCAAGAATTGGAATCTACAGGCCCATTATATACCCAGAGAGGCAAACAGAGTTGCCCATAGACTTGCAAAGAGAGGCCTCAATAACATGGACGGCTTCCTTTTTTTAGACACGGTCCCAGATTCACTGCGGATCCTTGTTCATGAAGATAGTTTGGGATTTCCATCCCCACCTTGTAATTTTTGAGTTTACGGGCTAAGCCCTCTATTATAAAAAAAAAAAAAAATTGATGGCCACGAGAACTGAAAGAATATAGAAGAGGATGTATGCATGTATGTAATAATTTTTTATAAACTTTAGTGCACAATATTTAAACAAAACATGAAATAAGGCATAGAACCACATTTCCACGGCTACAAGGTGCAATTTCTATTATTCGAAGCCTGGTCCAAGAAAATGCTTCACTAATTACGAGTGCAATGCCCAGTCATAACAAAACTCATAACAAAGGTACAGGACACAACAATCAAAACCCGGTATTACACGAAGCTGTAAGTTTACATGACTACTTGACGATAGAAAATATGGTTTGAAGAAATGTGAGAACGAGGAGTAAACATGCAGCAACAGAAGCAGCAAATTGCCAAGGTGTATTACAATAATCATGTCATAGGTTTGCCTTCCACTGGTGCCAACGACTTATACAATACCTATTCAAATCTTTGCAAGTCTTGATATAGTGAGTGCTGAAGGGCGAATAAACGACATTGTCTGAAAGACCATTAAATAATGTGGCAACGTTTTTCGTATCACCTAAATAGTTCCTAACTATTTTCCAGCGAACGAGGAGATCCACATCCTTTTCTATGTCTATTAGCCAATCCAACAAAATAGCATAATTAGTAATGTAAGCATTTTTAGGATAATGACATGGTTCTAATGCTATCATGTTACGAAACAAAAGTTCAGTGTTATCATCCACCACAATAAGTGGAATTTCAAGAATATGTCCTGAAAATTTCACGTCCAATAAGCATTTGCTCTCACAATCCTTCAACGTTACGTCTTCTTCTTCCAATGCATTCGCATTGTATGAAAGAATAGGACTTCCATCCTCTGGGACTTGCTTCCACTCATCCTCAACCTCTGGGTTTGGCTTCCTTTCAGACGTTTTTCTTTTCAAGCAAAACCATCTAAGAAGATATTTCACGTCCAATAAGCATTTTTTCTCACAATCCTTCAACGTTACGCCTGCTTCTTCCAATGCATTCGCATTGTATAAAAGAATATGACTTCCATCCTCTGGGACTTGCTTCCACTCAACCTCTGGGTTTGGCTTCCTTTCAGACGTTTTTCTTTTCAAGCAAACCATCTAAGAAGATCAGAAAAATGCTTTGGATTTGGCTTCCTTTCAGATGTTTTTTTTTCCCAGTAAAACAATCTAAGGAGATCTGTAAAATGATTTATCCCAGCAATAGAATGAGGATCTAATTGTCGTCTGTTGTGAGACCTAAAATACGCATGAGTGAGCTCAAGAATACCGCGACGGTCATGGGACAAAGCTTCATTGAACAGCTCTTCAATAACAAAGAATGGAAGTTGATTCTCCAGTAAAAGTAGATCCAGAAGTATAGAATCCGCTAACCATGGCTGTGACAATTTAGCATCATTGCGTAACTCATCAATCGACATGCTGAAGAGTTCAATGATGAAGACGGCATCCATTAATGTCAGTTTCACAAGTTCTTTTTCAGTAAGGTTTAAGGTCTCTGAATAAGAAGCACGGACTCATGGCTCTAACTTTTGTACAAATTCAACCAATTTGCAACAACTTGACTTGGTTCTTTGCATAAATCTTTTCAACAATATATGTTTATGCCTTTGCATGTCCTGCAGCCCCTCATTGCGACAATGAAAGGGGCCAAAGGAAACAACTTTTGGAGTGTAAGCATTTTGTTTAAGATCACGGAGCTTACTGGGCACCCTGTAGATACAACGATGCTGTGACAAACGACCATCTCCGCAATCTTGAATAAGTTCTTCTATGTCTTTAGTTACCTCCAGTCGTGAAGCACTCATTTGGGGAGTACTAGTGCCAATCTAAACAAAATAAGGCAAAAAGAGTGTAATAATTGAGGAATGAAAAAGAAGCAACCTTAAAAGTAAGGAAAAAGAAACAGAAGAGTGGTAAAGGAAGCACACGGTTTGTTGAGCGCTCACAGAAGAAACCGGCGGGTGAATGTCAGAATCTTGAGCAATCATTTGTGGAGCACAACCCTGAATCTAAACAAAACAGGGCTAAAAGAGTGTATTAATTGAGGAATGAAACAAAAGCAATCTTAAAAATAGTAAGCAAGAAGAAATTGAACAGAGGTAAAGGATGCATATACCGTTTGTGGAGCACTACTCATTAGTGGTGCAGCAGTCGACAAGTCCTCCATGAGATGTGGCTCAATCTAAACAAAATAAGGCTAAAAATACTGTAATAATTGAGGAATGAAACAGATCGAAGCAACCTTAAAAATAGCAAGCAAAAAGGAAGTAAAGAAAGTAAGAAATGCTTTCAAAATCGGATGCATAATAGCATAGGATGCATAGTTGGAGGCTCTGCTCATTGATTTCTGGAGCAATCGTGTCTTTATGAGAACAAGTGCTAATCTAAACAAAATAAGGCTGAAAGAGTGTGGTAATTGAGGAATGAAAAAGAAGCAACCTTAAAAGTAAGGAAAAAGAAACTAAAGAGTGGTAAAGGAAGCGTACGGTTTGTTGAGCACTCTCAGAAACCATAAAGTCTTCAATACTCATGTCGTCAGAATATTGAGCAGCACAAGTTTGATTCTAAACAAAATAAGGCAAAAAGAGTGTAGAAACTGAGGAATGAAACCAAAGCAACCTTGAAAATAGTAAGTAAAAAGAAAATTGAAGTGGTAAAGGAAGCATACGGTTTGTTGAGCACTCACAGGAATATTCATCGCCGGGTGAATGTCGACAGAATATTGATCAGTCATTTGTGGAGCACAAGTGTCAATCTAAACAAAATAAGCCTAAAAGAGTGTAATAATTGAGGAATGAAATAGAAGCAACGTTAAAAATAGTAAGCAAAAAGAATTGAACAGAGGTAAAAGATGCATATACCACTTGTGAAGGACTACTCGTTAGTGGTGCAGCAGTCGACGATGTCCCTATCTCCATGATATATGGATCAATCTAAACAAAATGAGGCCAAAAAATTTGTAATAATTGAGGAATGAAACAGATCGAAGCAACATTAAAAATAGCAAGCAAAAAGGAAGAAGAGAAAATAAGAAAAGCCTTCGAAATTGAACAAGCAGTAGTAAAGGATGCATATTTGGAAGGCTTGCTCCTCGATTTCTGGAGCAATCGTATCTTGAGAACAAGTGCTTATCTAAACAAAATAAAAGCTAAAAAAGTGTAATAATTGAGGAATGAGACAGATCGAAGCTATTAGAGTAACAATACAAGAGCCCAAGCCCATCACTGATAAAAGATGATATGGTCCATTATAATATTCTGGATAGTTCTCTAGGGCTACATGTCCACTAGCTCCTTTCTTTTTCTCACTTGTATCACCTACGCACATTTGACTATATATACACTGCACTGTATAGCAATCAGATCAATGGAATACAATATTTAGAATGCTATATTTTATTGTTTTCTTGCTATGACTATTCTCACTGCTATGCTAGGACTCTATACCTTCTTTATGGTATCAGAGCCATAGCCTCTACATCATGTTGGAAAGCGCGTCCACAGGGAGCTCTCTTGAGAGCTCTTCAACAAATGCAACTTTAAATTCTTTTCCCACTTTATCTTCTACCTGCTCTCCGTCTCATTTTCTTTACATTAAGTTGACCAATGATAATTATGAAATCTGGAAAGCTTAGATTATTCCGTATTTACATGGGCAACAACTATTTTCTTTGCTTGATGGCTCTTCTGTAGCACCAGTTAAATTTTTATCTGATGATTCTGTCAATCCTGCTTACATGAAGTGGTTCCAACAAGATCAATTTGTGCTTTCAGTCTTAATTTCTTCCCTCTCAGAGCCTCTTATTGGGCAAGTTATTAAAAACAAGATTGCCAGATCCATGTGGTTAGCTCTTGAACGATTATTTGCTGATAAATCTCATGCAAGGCTTTTACATCTGCACAATCAACTCAATAATCTTAAGAAAGGGACGGAATCTATATCTGAATACTATAAGAAGGCTGTTATGATTGCTGAATCTTTGAGTACTGCTGGCAAACCTGTGGATGACATTGATTTCATTAATTGTGTTCTTAATGGACTTGGTTCTAATTTTGAAGCAATTGTTGCCTCTCTTACTACACGAACTGGAACTCTGTCTCCTGAAGAAGTTTTGAGTTATTTATTGATTCATGAAGCCATAATTCCATCTCTACATACTTTGTCTGAAATTACTGCTAACTTGAATGCTAGAATTACTACTCATGATCAATATCAACAAAATTTTAGAAGTTCTTACAGGGGAAGAGGACGTACTGGTAGATCTGGAGGCTACAGAGGTTACAGAGGTCGGTCCTATAGAGGACGAGGTGGCGGATGCAGCTATCATGAGGATGAGAGATATTGTCATTATTGCGATAGATATGGTCACACGGCTCAAATGTGCTACTACAAGCCAGCTCCTCCACTTGCTTCATTTGCTCAAGCAAACTATTCCACTTATTCCTCGGTCCCTGATAGTGCGTGGTATTTTGACACTAGTGCTACAAATCACATGACCTCTGATATGTCCAATCTCAATCTTCATTCTGAGCCATATAGAGGAAACGCATCGATGCACAACAGTGATGGTTCCGCCATGTCCATAGCCAACCAAGGTTCATGTCAATATTCTATCTCTTCCCGTAACTATTTTCTTTCTAACCTTCTTCATATTCCCTCTATTTCCAAGAACTTATTTTCTGTTGCACGTTTCTGTCAAGACAATTCTGTCTATTTTAAATTTTACTCCTCTCATTTTCTTATAAAGGATCTTCACACAAAGTGTCTTCTTCTTCAAGGACCCACTAAGAATTTTCTTTATCCCTCACTTGTTCAATCTCCTCAAGCCAGTTTTGGAGTCAAAACATCAGTCGATCAATGGCACGCCAGGCTTGGACACCTAGCTTCTAGGATTGTGGGTTGAGTGCTTTCTCAATATTCACTTCCAAGTTATCCATCTCAGTCTATATCATGTCCAGCGTGTAATAAATCAAAGAGTCATGTTCTTCCCCACCCCTCTTCTCCTCATCATTCCCCTATCCGCTTTTTCTTGTTTTTAGTGATGTTTGGGGCCCTACTCCTGTGATGTCCTTATCTAGATTTTGTTACTATGTATCGTTTGTTGATGATTTTACAAGGTTCACCTGGTTCTTTCCTCTTAAAGCTAAGTCTGATGTATCTCATGTTTTTCTTTTGTTCTAGAAACAAGTAGAAAATCTTTTTAATACTAAAATTAAATTTCTTCAAACTGACGGTGGTGGAGAGTTTCAAGCTCTTCATAAAATTTACAAAATTTTGGTATAATTCATCGAATCACCTGCCCATATTCACATCCTCAAAATGGTTCTGTTGAGCATAAACATAGGCACATCATTGAATCTAGACTTGTACTTCTTCACCACGCGTCTTTACCATATCAATTTTGGGCTCATGCCTTTTCCTCAGCAGTTTATTTAATTAATCGGTTGCCATCTGCCACTCTTAATAACAAATCACCTTATGAGTTGTTATTTCATCATCCTCCTGATTATTCCTTTTTAAAAGTTTTTGGTTGCTCTTGTTGGCCTCACCTACGTCCTTACACTCATAATAAGCTGGAACCCAGGTCTACTCATTGTATTTTCATTGGGTGTGCTACTGATCATCTTGGTTACTTATGTTTTGAGCCCAAAACTGATAAAATTTTTGTTTCTCGTAATGTTAAATTTATTGAACAGGAATTTCCAGCCCATATCTTCTTTCCTCAGCCCACTTCTCAACCCAACATTTTGTCTCCACATGCTCTTTTGCCTATTGTCACTACTCCAAGTTCAGGTCCACTATCACGACCCACTTCTATTATCCCACCTAACCCCCACTCTACTGCCCAACCCGATATCCCATATTCCCCTTCCTCTTCAGATCAGAATCATGATGTCCTTTCTTCTCCAATGGCGAACTCTCCTGACTCCCCTGATCCTTCGCCGTCTTCTACTTCTTTGCCCTCTACTCAGCCTTACCGTATGGTCACTCGTGCTTAGACTCACTCCCTTAAACCAAAACAGTTTACGGATGGAACCATCCACTGGCCTCCACATGCACTGGTATCGTCAGTAGTCACGCCTCCCGATGCACCCACCTCTGTTACTGAGGCTCTAAAATACCCCGGGTGGCGTACTGCAATGGAAGCCGAGCTACAAGCCTTACTCTCCAACAAAACATGGCGGTTGGTCCCTCCCTCTCCTTCTCAAAATGTTGTCGGTTGTAAATGGGTTCTCCAAAAAAGTTTAAAGCTGATGGTAGTTTGGACAAGTAAAAAGCTCGTTTGGTTGCCAAAGGTTTTCATCAAGCTTCAGGTATTGATTATCACGAAACTTTTTCTCCTGTGCTTAAACCTGCAACCATTCGATTACTTCTCTCTCTGGCTGTATCCTTTGGGTGGTCTATTTCGTCAAATTGATATACAAAATGCCTTCTTACATGGTGATATAGATGAAGATGTGTACATGACTCAGCCTCCTGGGTTTCTAAATGCTAAGTTTCCTGATTATGTGTGTAAATTGCAACGTTCCATTTACGGTCTTAAGCAGGCACCTCATGCTTGGTTTTCTAAATTAAGTCATTGTCTTACTCGGTTGGGTTTTGTCTCTTCAAAGGCTGATACATCCCTTTTTACCAAGCGAGATTCCTTCTCTGTCCTTTATATTTTGATTTATGTGGATGATATCTTGGTGATTGGTTCTGATTCTGCTGCTATTCACGATTTAATTGCTACTTTAAACTCTTACTTTCCTGTCAAAGACCTTGGTCAACTTAGCTACTTTCTTGGGATTGAATGTCACTTCTCCTCATCTGGGTTGTATTTGTCTTAGCGTAAATATATTTATGATCTTTTAACCAAGACTGGTATGCATCGCTGTAATCATGAGGAAACACCTATGTCCACTAAGTCAAAATTATCTGCTTTTGAAGGATCTGTTGTTGAGAATGGGGAATTTTATAGGAGTGTGGTTGGTAGTTTACAATACCTATCCTTTACCAGACCAGACATTTCATATGTAGTAAACAAGGTGTGCCAATTTCTTCATCAGCCTCGTGATACTCACTGGAAGGCAGTTAAGCGGATTCTTTGGTATCTATCTAATACTATTGATCATGCTCTTGTTATTCATAAATGCTCTCCTTCATCTCTTGTTGCATTTACTGAAATTGAATCCCCTGAGAATCTGCTTGCTTATTCTGATGCTTATTGGGGGGGGCAATATAGATGACAGAAGGTCTACAGGGGGATATTGTGTATTTTATGATCCAAATTTAATTTCTTGGAGCTCTAGAAAACAACCAACTGTTGCTGATCATCCACCAAAGCAGAGTACAAGGCTCTTGCTCTTGCTACCTGTGATTTAATTTGGTTACAGACTTTATTAGCCCAAGCCCATCACTAATAAAAGATGATATGGTCCATTATAATATCCTGGATAGTTCTCTAGGGCTACGTGTCCACTAACTCCTTTCTTTTTCTCACCTGTATCACCTGCGCACATTTGACTATATATACACTGCACTGTACAGCAATCAGATCAATGAAATACAATATTCAGAATGCTATATTTTATTGTTTTCTTGCTATGACTATTCTCACTGCTATGCTAGGACTCTATACCTTCTTTAGAAGCAACCTAAAAAATACTCCTTCGGTCCTTAATATATGACTCAATTCTTGAGTTGGTTTTGGTCCTAAATATAAGACTCATTTGTCATATTTATTAATTTTCTCTAAATTATCTTTATAGATACTCCCTCAGCCACAATCAAGTAGAAGAGGGAGATAGGGTATTAAGAAAGATAATTATGATGTTTTAGGAAAAATGTGTCACTTTTCTTATAATTAACTAACTTACCTAACTTCCTTAATCTAATCAAATTAATTAAATGGGTCTTATATTAAGGATTGAAGGAGTGGTAAGCAAAAGGAAATCGAACAGGATGCATACTGTTTGTGGAGGAATCCCCAAGACATCCGAGTCTTTTGTTTCAGTATCTGTTACTTCCGACATCTAAACTTTGTTAGTCAAGAAACAACAGGAGAATGAAAGTAGATCTACTGTGCTCTGTGTTAAGAGTAAATATATAGATGGGAGGTGCGGCGCTGCGTATCTTAGCAAGTGGCTCTCACAACATTTAAATGACTTCCCAACAAAAATAAGTTAAGATGCGAATTTGC